AGTCCTAATTCTACATCTTCAATTAAAAAAAAAAAAAATAGCCTCACCATTGCATTATATACCACAGATCATTGAATGCCTATCACAGTCCACATCCAAGTCTATCAGCATCAAAGATGGCTGACATTTGGCCAGGAACTTTTAAAACACTGAGAATAAATTATGACCCAAACTCACTCTTCTTAAAGACATGTCTAAAGTTCAACTTTTTTTATTCCCCCTCACCTGAGGATATTTTTGCATTTATCTTCAGGAGAAGCAGGAGGGAGAGAGGGAAGAAGAGAGAGAGAAACATCGACGTGAGAGAGATACATCGAGTGGCCGCCACCCACACGACCCCAACCGGGGCCAGGGACAAACTGCAACCAAGATATGTGCCCTTAGCAGGAACCAAACCCGGGCTTCTCTGGTCCACGGGCCAATGCTCTAACTGCTGAGCCAAACTGGCCAGGGCTAAAGTTCAACTCTTTCATAGAATTCAGGAATATGAAAACAAAGTTCTCAGCAATATTAAGGAAATAAAGGTGCTTCAAATGGTCTTTCTAGTTTTGATTAAACTGTGCATTTTTATTTTGGTTGATTGATTGATTGTTATTTGTTCTTATTTATTTGTTACTCTTAGAAAATCTCATTTTGCCCGGCAAGTATGGCTCAGTGGATTCAACATCTCCCCATGGACTGAGAGGTCCTGACTCAATTCCCGGTCAGGGCACATGCCTGGGTTGCAGGCTGATACCCAGTAGGGGGCGTTCAGGAGGCAGCCAATGGATGTTTTTCTCTCACATTGATGTTTCTATCTCCCTCTCTCCTCTTCTGTCTCTAAAAAATCAATAAAAATATATTTTAAAAAAATGTTTAAAAAAGAAAAGAAAATCTTGTTCTTGACTGGACTCAGACTTAGAAGTAGCAGCTCTCAGAGAGGACAGCTAATCTGGGTTACCTGTTCCTGGCTTTTTTCTTTGCCACATGTTTAGCATATTCTGCAGCCTCTTCCTTATTTTTCTTAGTACGTTGTTTCTTCGGAGCAATGCGTGAGGTTTGCAGGACACGTGGAGTAACAAGGTGCTGAACCTTGGGTGCTCTGGTCCCAGGCTTCTTACCTTCTTTGTTGAGGGGCTTTCTCACACCCTATCGACGGACATCATCTTCTTTAAAGAGATCGAAACGTTTGCAGATTCTGCTACCTCTTTTGGGACCCAGTCGACGAGGCACAGTAGTATCAGTGAGACCAGGAAAATCTTTCTCCCCCCCCCCTTTTTTTTTACAAGGCCTGCGCTGAGAACACTGAAATTGGCATCCACAATGCAACCCCGAACAGATTTGCGCTTCTTCTCTCCAGGCCTCCTTGGTCTACAACAGGGATGCCCCTTACTCAGGAGCAGGCGCACGGCCATAGGTCAAGATGCCCTGCTTCGTGGGAAACCTTGCTTGTCATTCCCACCACTGATATGAACCGCGCGGCCCTTCCATTCTTCATCCAGAGTGTCAGCAGCCACTTCTGTGGCCATATGCTTCTCATAAAAGGTACGAAGTTTGTGTTCATCGTCCACGTCAATGAGTTTCTGGCAGCCAGTGGCTGGGAAAGAGATGTTCAGCTTCATTCTGAAGTAGCTGACCCCATCCGAGGCGCCACGAAAAAAAAAAAAAGCAAATTGTGCATTTTTAATATAGTTGTTATAAAGTAACACTCTTAAAGAAAACATATAGAGCCCTGGCCGGTTTGCCTTAGAGGTTAGAGCATCGACCTGCGGACCAGAGAGTCCCGGGTTCAGTTCCCGCTAAGGACACGTACCTTGGTTGCAGTTTGTCCCTGGCCCTGGTTGGGGTCGTGTGGGTGGCAACCACTCGATGTATCGCTCTCACATCGATGTTTCTCTCTCTCTCTTCCTCCCTCGCTCCCTCCCTTTCTATCTGAAGATAAATGCAAAAATGTCCTCCGGTGAGGATTAAAAAAAAAAAAAAGACAGAAAGCATGTAGAAATTTAAAATAAAGTAGAATATCCTATTTTCAGGGTCACCAGTACCATGGTGAGATTTGTCTCTTAAACAATGACACTTAGTATCTGTGTAGTTCCATGAATACTTTTGAAGTGTCATATTAAAACCAATCTCGTGGCCTTGAGGCAAAGAGAAGCAATTAGTCTTGGAGTTGTGAATAAATAAAAATCCATTTATACCCCGTCCTTGACATGTACCTTGCAAATCTTAGAAACTTCATCTAGTGGGAAAAGAAATGTTAAATCATGAATACCAATACTAATCACATTGCCATGTGGCTTCCTAAAATAGTTTAGTTCATACCAATCTTTTAAGAATTAATTTGTATGTATATATTCAACCATACTGAACACAAAACAAAGAAGGTCTAGCAGCATCTGGGAGAGAAGTGAGGAGCACTGGGGGCCACAAGGGTCACAAGAAGCAGGTTTTCAGTGGGTCTATGCTACTCAAACATAAGCTGGTGTGTTTTTCCATATGTCATTCCCCACCACCCCACTCCAGGAAGGGGTTAGGTTCTGTCCTAGAAAAAGTTTGGGGTACCCAAAATACCCTTCTCCATTTGTGATCCTAGTCCCCAGTCACCATTTAAGGGAGGATTTGGGAGGTCAAATGATTGCTTCCCCCCCTTTTTTTAAAATTTTTTTTCTTTACTGATTTTCTTTATTTTTTAACCCTCACCAGAGGATATTTTTTCCATATTTTGTTCAGTTAGAGTGGGAGGGAGTGAGAGACAGAAACACCGACGTGAAAGGGACACATCGAGTGGCTGCCACCCGCACAACCCAACCAGGGCCGGGGACAAACTGCAACTGAGGTACAAACCCTTAACGGGAACCCAACCCGGGTCTCTCTGGACCGCAGGCCGACGCTCTAACCGCTGAGCCAAACCGGCCAGGGCTATTGCTTCCCTTTTTATTTGGGACCATTTCTTCAACGCTGGGTTGGATGTGTGTAAATACGGGCTTTGCTGTCCCTTAGTCTTGTGCAGCCCTGAAGGAATTGGGACCGTCAGCCACGAAGCAGAGCAGACGTCCCGTGTGTGGCCTGGCTGGAGTTCGGCGAGCAGAAGAGTGGTGCCGTCTGGAAGGAGCTGAGAGCCCAAAGCCTGTTGACAGGGCAAGGGGAGCAGAGTGGGCAGTGCTATGGGGCCGGCTGGAGCGGCTGCACAGATCCCTGACCTACTTCCACAGCCCCTTACTGTTCTAGGAGCAGCTAAAAATCCATAAATTAAGGATATTAACTGATGGGGCCTGCGGCATCCTTATAAGCTATTTAAATCTATAAATTTACAACGTCTTCTGCATATATCAAGTAATTGAACTAACTGCAGGGATGTAACTTTAATGAGAAAATTTCCCCCTTCTCCTGTAGTTCGAGCTCTAAAATAAATAAATAAATAAATAAATAAATAAATAACATCTTCCCCCAGGAGGAAAGTTCCTGCTTATTCCCGCGTGGAGAAGTTACAGAAGCGCGGTCCAGGCGCTCTTTCCACTCGCGAGGCCCCTTAGTCAAGGGAAGCAGGCCCCGAACTTTGTCCACCTCCTACCAGCGCCCCCCGCCCACGGCCGATCCCCGAGTCCCCAGTGAGTGGGGCCGCTAGAGGGCGCCCAGGTCCGGCTGGAGCTCGGGGTGGGGGCCCCGGCGTCGCTCCTGGACCGTTCGCACCCACCCTCCAGCCCGAGCCTGACTCTGGCCCCATCGTGCCAGGAGCCAGACGCGGAGCGCAGAGCAGGCCCAGCGCACCCGCGGTTCCGCGCTCCGTTTCCTAAGAGCCGGGAAATGGTCCGGGGGTGTGGGGGACGGGCTGGGCGCCAGGGAAAGCGGAGGAAGGGGAGGAGGAGGTAGGAGAGGAGGAGGAAAGGGCAGCCAACGCGGGGACCTGGGAAGTGCGCCCCGGGCGGTGGCCTCCGCGCCGTGGGGAGCCTTGGCCACAGACGTCTCCAACGCGCCGCGCGCGGAGAGGAAATGGCGCGTCTGGCCCCGGGCGGCCGGCTGGGCGCCCCCCGCGCGCCCCTCCCCCGCGGTGTCCGACCTCGTGTCCGCAGACGTCACGGGCGGCGCTGCTCCACGGGAGAGGGACAGGGGCAGAGACCTGGGGAGGAAGGCCGGGGAGGGGGAGGAGCGGACTTGGCCCCCGGCTCCGCTCCAGCCCTGGCCGACTCGCAGCCCAGTTTCTTCCTAAGTCCCGCCCCTGGCCCCGGGCGCCGCGGCGGCGGCTGCTCTCCTCTTTGTAACCGAGGAGTCAAGAAATGTGAGAAACGTGCCCTGTGTTACTTATTTGGGAGCCGAAAATTTATGCCCAGCTGAAAGCGCCCGGGGAAATATTACATCAGATGAAATGACAATGATTAAAATCAGCTTCTCCCCCGCCCCCTTCTGAGCCCAGAGGAGGCCCGGGCGCCGCGTGGCCGGTCGGCGGGGGGCTGGGCCGCGGAGGGCGCGGGGGCCTGGGCGCACTGCTCCGGGGAGGGTCCTGGCGGAGGCCCCGGCGGGAACGCGCGGGCTCCGGGAGAGGCGGGTGGGAATCGCCCGACGAAAGGAGGAGAAACTGTGCATTTCTGTCGCCGAGCGCGGCAGGCGCGAGCGCGCGGAGCTAATTGCGACTCTAATCCTCTGCCCCGCGGCGCAGCCGAGCCCCGAGCCAGGAGTCGCCGCGCGCTCCCGCTCGCGCTCGCCGCGCTGGGTAATTTGGAGCCGAATCGTTGCCCTTTGCGTCCAGGCTCGGCCGCCACGGGGCGCGGGCCACTGGCTGGGGCGGGGGTCTGGTTTTCTCGCCAGCAATCGAGGAAGGCCGCTGGAGAGAGAGGAGGTGGGAGCGGCGGGAGGGCAGCCGGAGAGCAGCGCGAAGAGGAGGCGGCGGCGGCCGCGAGAAGGGGAGGAGGCGAGGGGAGGGCGGGGAGGGGAGGCCCCGGCGCGCCGCGCCGCGAGGGGCCGCGCGAAGCGGGGGCCGGGGCGGGAGGGGTGGGTGGGGGGGAGGGTTGGGGGCGAGAGAGAAAGTAACTCCTGGACGAGACCGGAGCGACCCGCGCAGCGAGCACAGGCGGCAAGGCTGCGCCAGGCGCCCGAGACCCGAGGCTGCGGGGGGCGGGGGCTGTGCCCGAGCCGGATCCCCCGCTCTGGCTCCGAGGTAAGCCCCGCGCGGGCGGCTACCGCTCAGCGCCGCGCACCCCTGTCCCCGAAGTGGCCGCGATACTGAGAAAGTCTCCCGGCTGGGGTTCCGACCTGGGCGGGGGCGGCTGCTTTGTCCCGGCGCTGGGCGGCGGGGGCACCCAGCACAAAGGCCTGGCGCGGGAGGGGGGGTTGCCCACGTGGGCTGGTCCTGGCCCAGGGTAGACCCTCCCCACGCGGGCGGGCTCGGCGCTTCCTGCTGCGCGGGGCGGGTTCAGGCCCCAGTACTGGAGCCCCAGTGCAGGGCCGGCGAGTTTCCGGGGTCAAAACTGGGCTCGTGCAGCTGGGGCTTTGGGGGGAACGGGGCCCGTCTTGGCGCTCAAATCAGAGAAAGTCTCTAACGGGACAGATGTGCGTCCTTTGACGCCCACCCCGAGAGTGCGAAACGAGGAGGGAGGGGTCGGCGCGCTCTGGCCGTCCCAGGCACGCGGGGTTTGGGGCTCCCGGACCAACCGCGCGGATACGCGATTGCCGCCTCCGGGTCCCTGCTGCCTGCCGGTACTCACTGCCTGGACGCACGCACCGGACACACTCCCAAACATCCCCCTTCCGTATCCGAAGCGCCTTTAGATCTCCCCACCAACCTCCCCGACTGCAGAAAGATAAGCTTCAAGTTTTCACTTAGTCTTTCAAATGTGTTTGAAGGAATTTAACTGCATTGAATAACAGCATTAGTTTCAATTAATTTTTTTTAAATCCCGCCAACAATAAACTTTGAGAACAAAAGCGCTTTTGCGTCCTTAACGAGGCAAGCTTCGCATCTGCGGTCTCCAAGTGTCTGCTCCTTGATTTAACTTTGTCCTCTGCCCTCGCCGCACGCCCCTCCCTACCCTGCCAGGCTTTTTGGGTTCCGCGGCCACCCCCGCCCCGCGGCGCCGCCGGCTCCAGGCGCCCTGAAGTTCACACCGGCCGGCGGGCTTCGCGGCGGGGCTGGCGCGCACCAGGTGGCTCGCGGGCTTCGCTCCCGGCCCACCCCCTGGACGATTCTGCAGGACCCTGGCAATCTCGCCCGGGGCTGGAGCCCAGGGCGCCGAACTGAAGAGAACTCGCGCGGCGCCTTCTGTTTACCTTTTATGGTTAAAATAACAGCTTAGCAAAGAAGCGACTTCACGAAGAAGCGATTTAGTGAAATCGTCTCAAGCTGCCGCAGCTCAGCCAGTTTAATCACCCCCAGAGAGCTGAACAACTGCGAGCACAATGGGACACAAAATCATTTTGTGTGTAAATGAGCGTGGCATTCTGCTCGCTTCCCTCTGCTCCGGCGGGCGGGGCTTGGTGGTGGCGGGCGGGCGCGGGTCCTGGGGCTCCCGCCGCAGCTCCCAGAAGCGGGTCAATACCCAGCCAGTTTGGAAACCCGCGGGCCCTGCAACAGGCTGTTGGGCCAGCCTCGGAGGGCCGTGGTGTTGAGGTTGGGTCATGGGTTTGATGCTGGTGTTGGGTAACTGAACTTGTGTCTCTGACTGCACTCACTTTATGCTTCTGATCTCAGCAGTGGTCTCGGAGAAAGGGTCGTTGTCCAGCACAGATGCGTTGGTCAGAGGGAGCACTGGAGGTTCTGGTCAAGGCGTAAAGCCTGGGGCTTCCAATGGTGAGTTTCCTGTCTGCCGTGAACATCAGGTTGTGCTTGCAGTGGCAAGGAGGCTGGGTGAGAATGGGATTGAGCAGCTTTTGTGATGGGTACTTGATGTTAAATGTCACTTTTGAGTAGTGTGCTCCTAGTAGCAGGGAAAACCTTGTACAGTTTGCTTTGATAGAAGATCCAGAATTCCTTCCAGCACAGTTTATTTTCAGTGTGGCTTTCCTTCTGTCTCCTCATCCTGCAGCACCTCCCACCACAGGACAACCCATTCTTGAGATCTGTTTTGCTTTCTCAGAACTTCCTTGAAATAAGTGACCTGCTTTTTAAAAAGCTAAGTGGAACTCAGGAATGCCAAAAGCAGCAGCCCCTGAGCAGCCCCCAGTGAGGGTATAAATTAAACATCTCTGTATGCTAATAGCACTCCTACCCCCACCCAGTCTCCTGTCAGGGAACTTGCCAGGACACTAAGGACAGAGTAACCTTACTTAAATTTGCGTGATTTGATGCTCATTGGACCTGGGTCCATGTTTCAGAGTTGGATGTTGAATTTAAGGCACAAAGGCAATCCTTAAGGGAGATTTAAACCAGTGACAGACAAGTCCAGGCTAGACTTGTGGAAGCCAGTGGGGAGGGTGATATTCATTGTGCATGCCCCCCACCCCCTGAGATCGGAAAGTGCTGCTCTTTAAACCCGCTCTTCTGCACCCTCCTGCACTGTGCCCTGGAGTGGCTTCATCTTTTTTCAGGTGGCTCAGGAGCAGAAGAAAGGTGCTGAGTGACTGGGGAGGAGCAGGAGATAGGCTCCATTTGCTAAACTGGTGGATTTCTTCCTGGTCAGCTCCGTGATGCCTTGGGGGTGTGATCCCTAGGTGGCTGAGGCATAGACAGACCATTCGGGGGGGGGGGGGTTGTCAAGGGTCCTAGGATCCCCAGCCCATGGAGGGTAGGGGATCCTCCCTACACAGCGGTCCACGGGGTTCTCTATGGATGCAAGAGGAGACATGCTTGGTAACATGGCTCCAAAACACAATACCAGGAAAATCAGATTTGTTCTGAAACATTTTGGGCAATTACGGTGAGCATATGTTTTAGTGTTGTCATTAGCTGAATTAGCAGACATGGGGCTGCCCAGCAAACACGTGTGTGCGTGCGTGCATGTGTGTGTGTGTGTGTGTGTGTGTGTGTAATTTGCTATGGCCCGAATGCACGCTTTGAGGTATGGGTCAGTACAGTGGTGGGTGGAATCTGGACAATGCTGTGTAGTAGGCATGGAGTCCAGGAGAGCAGGTGGAGAAAGGACAATATAAGTGTCATTGACTCCACGGGAGACATAGCACCCATGAGTACTGAGGAGTAAACCCTCTGGTCTGTCGGTGCTTCCCACAGATACTCCGGGCAGCGATGGAAGCCTAGATGCCTCACCGCAAGGAGCGGCCGAGGGGGTCCTCGCTTCACGCCCAAGGCAGCACCGGCACTGAGGTGAGAGCCAGAGGGGGCTGGGCAGCGCCCGTGGCCGCCTCTCGCCAGCTGCCCTGGTTACCCGTCTTCACAGCTGCAGCATTTAAGAGATGGCCGTTGACTGGCTGTACGATTATGTATTTTTTGAAACAAAAATGCTCTTAATTTGATGTGAAATTTACTACATGTATAAAACTCAACGCCTTAGGTGCTGAGGAAGTCACTAATTTAGAGGTGTCTCGTTACTGAGACAAACTTGCAAAAACCCCTGAATCCCAATTCACAAATTGGTGATTCGTTTGTCAGGGGATATTTCACATCTAACACATAAGCCCACGACCTTTAATTAGAATTTTGCAGTTTGTTTTATGCCCCTGGAGGCTGACACCTTGAAAATTTTTTTTTCTTGATTTCTTATTGCTAATAAGCATCTTTCTTTTTCCCTCTGGTACTTGGAAGAGAATGATGCAAATACACTTAATTACGGTGGTGGCCATAATTTGTTAGCTGAATATGTGATCAGGCACAGGCACAAGTGATCTGATTAGATCTGTGATCATGTTGGCAGTAAAGGGAGTACACAGCTTTATTGTGAAGAAACTTGTTTCCGCCTTGTTTCCGTCTCCAGGAGGGAGGAAGTATGTCCCGGTTGTCTCTTACCCGGTCACCCGTGTCTCCCCTGGCTGCCCAGGGGATCCCACTGCCAGCCCAGCTCACCAAGTCCAATGCACCTGTGCACATCGACGTGGGCGGCCACATGTATACCAGCAGCCTGGCCACACTCACCAAGTACCCCGACTCCAGGTAAGAGCCGAGCGCTTTGTAGTACCAGGCAGGGGGTGGTGACTGGCAGCATCTGCAGCCTGCTACCAATGGCAGCTAACACACAGAGCTCTCCGGGCCCACCCTGGGGGAACTAGGATTTGGGAGGCCGAGTCTGCCTGTTGAAGGCTAGTTTACAGGGACTGGTGACCCTTAGCCGGCTGCATCGGTAATGCTAGGTGGAGCTTCTGACCCCCTCCCAGAAGCCACTCATTCCGAGCCTGAAGCTGGCCAGCAGCTGGCTGGGGAATCGGACATGCCTTTAGGTTCCTCTTCAGTAGGACTCAGGCCTGGCTTTTGCAGGGGATCATTTGTGAGCAATGCTGTCTACTTCTTGGGATCGAGTATTTAATCCTACTTCTGATTCTAACCCTTGGGATATCGCATAAGGAGAGGGAGGAGGGGGGCTACAATTCACCATCTTTGTCTGTTGGGGTGACTACTGCTGGACCCTGAGGGCTAGCAGCAGGCTCCCTGGTGCAGTGCCTGCTACGGAGAGGCATGAGCTGCATACCCCATTAGCACAGTGTCTCTGACCAGACCCTCCCAGCCCGGTGCCTCATGCTCTGCAGGGCTCCCCGGTACTCCTGCCTGTGGGCCCATCTGTGGGAGGTGCTGGGTGCTGCCAACTCCTGCTTTTGCCTCATGGGCTTTTCCTCCCGGGGTGGACCTGGTTTCCCACTGGCATGGCAGCAGGGCTGACCTGAGCTAGAGTGGGTGTCCATGAGCCTGTCCCGGAGGTGACGCGGCGCACTGCTCGCTCCTGGCACAGTGAGGCAGCCACCGCTGAGGGCCGAGCGGCGGGAGAGCCAGCGCTGCGGGCATCGCCTGGTTTATACATTTAAAATAGCAAGAGGAGTTAATTAATCCCCCAGACACCGAGGGATCATCTCTGGGAAGCTGTCTTGTCAGGCTGCCTTGTCATCAGTGTGGTTGCTCAGGGCACAGAGGACTTCTAGTGTGCAGAGGTGGCTGTTTGTGTGGCAGCTTCGGGGCCAGGGTGGAGCCCTCCATGGTTTTGGGGTGCTCCCTTGAGGAGCAAACTTTGAGATGGATGCAGTGTTCAGTTCAGAATCTGGGGATGCCGGGGGGGGGGGGCGGGGGGAGCAGATGTTGGTTAAGGCTTCATTTTCTTAGCTCAGCAGAGGCTAGGCCTGGGGCGCTTGTGAACTTGGGGCATTGGGGGTGGCAGCCATGAGGCCCCGTCAGCAGTGTTGGTCTGTGTGCTAGCTTGCAGAGAGCCCTGTCTAGGACAGGAGATGGATTCGGCTTATTTAATTTCAGTTTTTCCCTCTGTGGCATTCCTGAGTTGTTTGAGATAGATCACCCCTTAATCGGTTGATGACTTGTGAGTGAAATTCATAAAACCCTTGCCCACAGCCTCTCCGAAGAGAGTTTCCTGAAATCAGACACTTGCCCTTCTGAAACTGCAGCCCAGGCCCACAGGGAATGGACTCCTCATTCTTGTGTCCAGGGGGTGGTGTGACCTGTGGGACAGCCGCAGGACAGTGGGGCAGGCCAGGCCTGAAAAGTGGTTGGGCAGCTGTGCTGACAGGGGCCCCTCCAGCCTCTCTTGTCCCTCTTTGAGTGAATCATTAAAATTAAAAAACAGTTTTCATCAATTCTGGAAACCAAGAGCCATCCCTTCCCCAGTGTCACTGTGGTAGTCACCTGGAAAGGGACAATTAAAAGTGTTAAGGTCCCCTGGGGGGGGGGTTTCTGTGTATAAATGCTGAAGGCCCATCCTGGGCAGTGCTGGGAAGACAGGGGCTCTGCCCCAGGCTCTGGGGTCCCTGTGGCCATCGAACTCTGCTTGGACTTCTGATTTTTGGTCGGTGGGCGTGGTTCCGACACAAGGAACAGGTGCCACCACTGGTTGGCCCAGGAGCAGCTGTCAGTCATGGCTCAGGGACAGTGGAACACAGCTGCCCGGAGCTGGGAGGAGACTCCCGGGGCTGCCACCCAGCTCAGTCCTGCCTGCTGGACATGGCTTAGCTGCCACCCAGCTCGCACATCCCTCCCGGTTGGTGAGATGTCCAGGAGCTTCAGAACTGATAGAACCTTCCACTGAAACATGGAGGAAGTTGGAACCGAAGCTTAAAACAGGAAAGAAAAAGATAATCCCCGTCAGCTGGGGTCAGAACTGACCACCAGCCTAGACCACGGACGACTTCTGAAGTTGGCACCCTAAACCCTGAAGCCTCCCTCAGAGGATGGCCTGGGGCAGGAGCTGACTCTTGAGACCCTGGACGTGTCTGGTGCTCTTGTGGCTACTGACCTAACCTTCCCTCAACCTGCTCACATTCTTGGTAGCCTCAGATCCCCAAGGGCATGAAAGCCTTCGTCCTGTGAAGATACACTGAATCACGGAAAGGTCTAGAACCAGCCAGTCCTGAAATAAGGCAGATTGAGCACCTTCTAGCCTTGGACCAATAAACAGCCTGGAACCCAGTTAGCCCCAGAATGTGGGTGGGTCCAGAGCCCTGTGGACTGACGGGTCCCAGCCAGCCCCGAGGGCACCGGAACTGGCAGCGCTGCCGAACCTAGAACGTTGCTGGTCGCGGGAGCACTTGCGTTCCATGGGGAAGGGTGGAGAACGTTCCACGGGGAGGCTTCGGCTTAGGACTCGCCGGCTTACCTTTGGGTGTGACTTTTACTTCTTTCTGCTGATGCCGTGTGGGGGCCCTCGACTGTTTGATGGTGACTGCCCGTGGCACCGGGCAGCCTTGCTCAGTCCCATCTGTCTCCAGGGATGCTGGGGGTCCCTCAGCCTGACATTTGAACGCCCCAGCTCTGCGGAGGCCATTTCCCAGGACTTTGACCGTCGGAACAGGCCATGGCGCCCACAAGGCTCTCCTTCAGTGCTGTCGTCACCAGGCCTGGCGGCGCTGCTGGCTCGAAGGCCCTTGCACTGGGCGCCTGCAGCACTGGTTCCGCAGGCTCGGCCCTGCACACCTCCCGCAGGCTCTGACCTGCTTGTACCCACCCATGAGGCAGCCCTGCCCTTCTGTAAGGCCCACTGGGACAGGGGCTGGGCCATGTCCCCAGACTGAGAACAGGTCAATACGTGGCTACCCCACACCCGGGCAGACCCTCATGGCCGATGCCCGAGTGTGCCAGGCCACCAGAGTGGAGGACAGTGTAGCCCTCAGCTTGTGCCCAGCTCATATGTCCTGGTGCACAGTGGCAGGGCAGGGCCACGGGCATAGTGACCTGGAATGGACTGAGGGCTGGGCCGCTGGGGGAGGGGGGCACATCCATGGAAGGTCCGTGCCAGGCAGAGAGTGAGGGGGCTTCGGGACTGGATTATGCAGGCTGGACTGGAAGGCCTGGGTGTCAGGTGAGGGCCGCCGTGGGAGGGTCTAGCTGTGGACGAGCTGCCCGCTGAAGGGTGTCTGGAGGTGCCGTCACTGGGAAGACCCTGCCAGCCTTCCTCCTCTTTGTGAGCCAAGCTCTTGGCTGTCACCGCTCCTCTTTGTGGCTCCTAATTGTCCACAGCTGGGCCTGGGGTCTGCAGGGGAAGTTAGCCAAACCCGAGCCTGCCACCCTGGGCATTAGGGAGGCCCAAGCTTTGGCTCTGCGGCCTGCTTCCTCCTCCCTGGAGTGCATGGGGACAGGCCTTGGGAGCTCCCCAAGATCTGAGTTTCTGTCAACCACTGCCCTTCAGAGGACAGGGTGCTGGGTCCGGTCTCCCCTCCCAGACTTCTTCTAGATGTGTACATCTTCATGTGCTGTGGTGTATGTGCCCGCACTGGTCCTACATATGTACACACTGGGGTGTGTGTAGTGTGTGTGTGTGTGTGTGCACCGTGGCACGCATGCGTGTGCAGATCCCCCAGCCTGCCTTGGATCTCCCCGAGGGCTCCCTGAATGAGAGGCTGCTGTTGGTTTACCTGTTCGTCTCATGTATGTAGCCGTGTCCCTGGTTGAATTGTGTTGGCTGGTTTGTCCTTTGCCTGGATGTGTCTAGATCTGCCTGTGATTTCTCTGTTGTGAGGGAGGGGACTGTGTGACCCTGTACCTGTTGCCCAGGTGTGTCACATCTGGTGCTCGTCCCTGTGGGTTGGGTGACGTGGATGTGTAGGACCCAAGACTGTCTTGGCTGGTTTACATGTGTTCACTGGCGTGTGGCTGTGGGCCGGAGTGTCTCACGGTTGGTGGGAGTTTCCTGGGTGGGTCTCTCTGGCTAGGGTTTGTGTGTGGGGGTAAGGAGGCTGTGCCTGTGTCTCGCTGTAGTTTTCCAGGCCTGAGTGTTGGCAGGCGGGTGTGTGCAGCTGGGTGTGTCCTCTGGCGGTGGCTTGGGAGTGTGGGCGGAGTGTGTGGCATGTGATGCTCGCTGTGCCGGTGTCCTGTCTGCCGGTGGCCCTACCGCTCTGGTGCATGCAGGCTTCCATCGGACTTGGCACCGGTTCAGGTCACCCATGCAGGGCCTCTCGTCCGTCCAGCAGGGCGGGCCCAGGAGTGGGGCTGGGCTAGGTGGACCTCCTCTTCCATCAGACATCCCGCCCTCCATCTCTCCCAGAATAAGCCGCCTCTTCAATGGCACCGAGCCCATTGTCCTGGACAGTTTGAAGCAACACTATTTCATTGACCGGGATGGGGAGATTTTCCGCTATGTCCTGAGCTTCCTGCGGACGTCCAAGCTGCTGCTCCCAGATGACTTCAAGGTAAGTCCATGGCCGGTGGCGACCCTGCTGGGACTTAATAAGTGGACCCATGGTTGGCATTGCAACCATAAAAAGTTACGTGGTGAAGCTAAGGGCCGGATCTGTGTTTCTAACCTGATACTGTGTTCTCACGATTTGGGCTCTATCGGGGTGTCTGAACAATTAGGCAGCAGCGCTTCTCCTGGTTCTATGTCTGTTGTGTTGGGAGCAGGAGGTTTCCAGATCTGCTCCTTGTTGGCCATTTGCAGGGGGCAACCCGGATCCAAACCAAACACCCTTTATTTTATTTGTTTATTTTTTTGGTGGTACGTGCCCCTAGCAGGAACCGAACCTGGACTCTCTTGTCTACAGGCCGACACTCAACCACTGAGCCAAACTGGCCAGGGCAGTCACACTGGATTTGTTTTTTTGTTTGTTTGGTTGGTTTTTTTTTTTTTTGGTACGTGCCCCTAGTGGGAACCGAACCCAGGACTCTCTGGTCCGCAGGCCAACGCTCCAATCACTGAGCCAAACCAGCCGGGGCCCAAACACCCTTTAAACGAAAGGTGGCCTGAAGGTCTTGGGGTGAGCCTATCCGGGTCCCAAGACTCCTGTCTCTGTGCTGGGCCCCTTTGTGGCCCCACGGGTCCCAGAGGCAGGAAACACAGGCCTGGGCGACCCTGGCTCACAGCAGCAAGTGTCCTTTCTTCCCTCTGGCACCCAGGGGACCAGTGGCCCGAGGGCTGTTTTCTCCTCCATCCAACTTAGTCACTGGGTCCCAACGACCGAGCTCAGGCTGAAAACACAGTGAAACAAGGCGGACGTGGGTCCTGTCCCCATAGCGTTTACACTCTGGTGGGGAGACAGATGTTGAACCCAAAATACTTGAATTCCACAGAATTCCAGTTCAGAGAAGGGGTCAGGGAGGCTGTTTCTCTGGGAGATGGAGGAGGCAGGGTGGCAAGGGACAGTGCCTCCCTGACCTGGCGAGAACGTGCCAGCCTGGGGCTGTATGACCTGGGAGGGCAGGACGGGAGGCTGCTGGTGGACGTCAGGACCTCAGTGGCTGACTCGGCGTTTGGCATTTTCCCCTGAATGCAGTGGGAGGGTGCTGGGCAGGGGTGATGAGGGGATGACGATCAGATCTGCACATGGATCGCCCTGGCTGTGGAGCGAGAAGCCAAGAGAGGTTATTTGAAGGCTTTGGACCAGGCAGGAGGTTAAACTTACATTTACGAAAAGGACACAAAAGGTGGGGTTAGCGGGGGTCAGGGGGCTCTTGAGGGTGCCTCCCAGCCTGGCTTCTGGCTGGGGGGAGTGTGGCACCCAGCTCCTGCATGGAAGTGTGGTGGGACATTAGGTGAAGGTGATCTGGGCTATGAGGAATGATGGGGTCGTTTGGTGTGCAGATAGCTCCTAGGAGCGGATGAGGGCAGAAGCCCGGGATGGAGCCCCAGGGAACCCCTGAAGAGGGATACAATGGATACCCCCACAGGCCTCCCATGGGGTGCTTCCAAGGGGCCAGCAGACGGCAGGGTAGCTGCTTTGGAGACGGGCTTCCTGTCCCTCCCTCAGGGGTCCTCATGTTCACCAGCTGACCTTGAGCTGAGCCCCACTGAACAGCATGAGTTGAGGGTACTCGGCTACACAGGGCTGGGGCAGGTGTGGGTGAGCATGTATTTGAGGGACCGTTGGTGTGAGTCCTTCCATCCCGGGAAGGGGCGGCCTGCTGGGTGAGAGATGGGCTGTCTGTCCACTCCAGACTCCTCCCCACACAGCCTGCCAGGGCAGGGGCTGGCTGGGCAGTTGGCAGATCTTATTGTCCTTGAAAATGCTCGCCTTCTTCTCTGAGCTGGGGGGTCTACATCCATTTTATAGAAGAGAAAATGAGGCTCAGAGAAGCTCAGTTACAGGTGATCAGAGGCTTCAGGGCTGGCAGATGAAGATGCCGAAAACCCAGCCTGGGCAGGTCTGTCTTGCCTCCCTGCTGGGCTGTGTGCTCTTTCAGGGCAGGGAGCGGCTCCTCTCTGGGATTCTGAGAAGGCAGCAGGTCCCCAGGCGCAGACAGAGCCTCAGGCTCCTCTAGTCCAGCCTCCTGGTCTTTCAGAGGCTTCTCTCTCCTTCAGGGGGACGAAACCTCCCTGAGTGCTTGGGGCCAGATGCAAGGGCTCAGGGGGTCAGGCACTGATGCGCACCCGCCGCTGCCCTTGGGTCACGGCTAGACTCCTTGTGCTTGCACACATTGAATTCGAGCCTCATTTTCTCCATCTTTACAATGGGCACAACCATCCCAGCCCACACTGTGCCCTAGGTGGGTGGGTGGGTGATCCCAGTTCTGCAGAATGGTGAGAGGAGCCGCCCCCCGGAGTTGGAAAAGGCAGCCCCCCGCCTCCCTCCACCCTGTCTACCATTCCTGCAGGACTTCAGCCTGCTGTACGAGGAGGCGCGCTATTACCAGCTGCAGCCCATGGTGCGCGAGCTGGAGCGCTGGCAGCAGGAGCAGGAGCAGCGGCGCCGCAGCAGGGCCTGTGACTGCCTGGTGGTGCGGGTCACGCCGGACCTGGGCGAGCGGATCGCGCTCAGCGGCGAGAAGGCCCTCATTGAGGAGGTCTTCCCGGAGACCGGGGACGTCATGTGCAACTCCGTCAACGCTGGCTGGAACCAGGATCCCACGCACGTCATCCGCTTCCCGCTCAACGGCTACTGCCGGCTCAACTCGGTGCAGGTGAGGGCTTCGTCTGCGCCCCTCGCCTCCCCCCTGCCTCCCCCCGGCCCTCCGGCAGCAGAGAGAGATGGAGGGAGGCGCGGTCCCCGAAATGGCGAAGCCCTCCCTGCCATCTCCCAGAAAAGGCAACAATGTATGGATGCATAATTTATGTCCTGCTCATAATTAAATGATGGTGCCTGGGGGATGGACTTAAAAAAATTGATCTGTACTCTCTCTCTCTCTCTCTTTTTTTTTTTTTTCCAAAAGGATGTTCTATAAAAATTGTCCAGAGTACTTTCAACAAAGTGTGCTTCATTTGACACTCAGAGTTGAGTTTGGATTCAAATGAAACCCAGACAACAGGATGGGCAGTCAGAGGCTGAGCCCCGAGGCGGCCTGGAGCCCCTCAGCCTGCTGATCCAGGCCACAGGCACCCAGACAGCTGCCCAGAGCATTCTGGACTGGCTTGCCCTAGATGGGTCTAAGAGTTGGGAAGCCCATTTCCCACCAGCTCTTCCAGACCCCAGAGCACACCCCCGTTTCAGGCTCGGGGTAGAGTGGACTTGGCTGGGAAAGTCCTCCCCGTGCGCACATTCCGCGGGCTGTCGGTAGGAACTTGGCTAGCTGCAGGACACAGGAGTCAGGCCCAGGGACTAGACCCACCCCTCACAGAGGCACAGACCCACAGGACATGGAGGCCTGCAGAGAAACAGACGGAGGACACCTCTCCACCCCCAACCCCCTTGAGCTAATGAGTGGCTGGGCTTCAAGCCACCTGGGACTCAAAGGTTAGGGAAGCAGGTGGCTGCCTAGAGGCTGGGGGCAGGGTCTCTATGATTGGGACAGGTCTCAGAGAGGAGGGGCACCAGGGACCACGTGTCTGGAGAGGGGCAGGTTACACCCTGGAGAAGAGACAAGGACCCCAAAGACTCTCCCTCCCTGAACCAAGGCTGTAGACCCCTGAGGGCAGAGTGTAGGGTAGCCCACTCTGGTTTGGTCACGGGAGTGGTCCTGGAGCCTGGCTGCTTCTGTTCTGCCTGTGTTTGCCCAACTGCTGGTTCTGTAGAGACCTCTGTTGTGAGACGGGAGATGCTAACAGAAGATAGCTTGCCCAGGCTAGGGCCCACCTGTCCCCCAGGCCAAGCCAGGCAGACTTGCAGCTGGGCTTTGCTGACCCCTATTTCTTCCCCGGCAGGTCCTGGAGAGGCTGTTCCAGAGGGGTTTCAGCGTGGCTGCGTCCTGCGGGGGTGGTGTGGACTCCTCCCAGTTCAGCGAGTATGTGCTTTGCCGGGAGGAGCGTCGGCCGCAGCCCACCCCCACCACTGTCCGGATAAAGCAGGAGCCCCTGGACTAGGCCCTGCCTCAGTGCCCTCCCGAAGCCCCTTGGCCCTGGGGACAGCCCAGGGACCTGGAGACAGTGCTGGGGAGTTCTGCCGGGATCTGCTTATCAGTCTTCATGAGACTGATAGTAGGGCTGGAGGGTCCGAGTCCAGCCCAGGGAGCCCCAGGGCCCCAGGTGTCATGCAACAGAATGTGGGGTACTGGAGGCATGCTTACTGAAGGATTGTTGATGTGACCCAAAAATGCCTCAGTGGGAACTCTGCCACTGTTTCCCGGGGCCCCTTGGCTCCCCAGCCTGGCGCAGCGACCTCCAGGGCCCCGGGGCCTGCCGTGGCGGAGTCAGCACTGGCCTCCCCGGCCCACTGCAGAGGAGCCGATCGTCCTTCTCCACGCGTGGCAGACTCCAGTGGGTCTCCTTGCATCAGAGGTGGCTTATTTTTCTACAGTATTTAAAACAGAAGTAACTGCACAAGCCAGAGAGGCCGACAAGGACCAACACTTCTTTATCAGGTGCTGCATTCAGTCAGACGTGCGGCATGCCCCCACCTGGTGGGGAAGCTGCCGGGCACGCCCGCCCAAGTGCCCACCGAGTGGGGCTTGGAGGGCTCTGGCCCCTGCTCTAGGGATGTGCAGGGAGGGTGGTGCTGTTAGAGCTGAAGCAGGTCCCCCAGGGAGCAGGGCTGCTGGCAGGAGGGTGGTTTGGGTGTGGGGGACATATGGCTGTGGGACCACTTGGGGTGCGGGCCACACTTGGTGGATCACTTGACCTGCTAATGGCCAGGAGCTTCCAGTCCGATTTGTGTGTCCTCACACCTCGGCTCCCAGAGAAGTCTCTCCCCATCCAGACCAGCCACAGGGCCACATCCTTACCTCAGGAATGGGTCCCACGGTGAAGGGGCCCCACCTGGCAGTAGCATCCTCCGGGTCCCCCCCTCAGGAAGCCGTCCCCCGCTCTGATGTTCCCACACTCACATGCACACTGAATTTTCATGAAATTTGTTAACACTCGTCTGCCGGTAAGACCAGGACATAGGCCTACCTGGGGCTCTTGCCCCAGATTCCAACAAGGACTGGCCCCGAGGGGTCCTCGTAGACCTGCTGCCTCTTAGACGACAGGCCCAAAGATGGACACCCCAGCCTTGTCGCCCTTGACCGAGCGGCTCTTCCCAGGTGGAGAAACCACAGACAACTGCTCAGTGGGTGGGGTGCCCAGCTGGCACCACCCTGCATACGATGCCTGTAGACTTGTATATGACTCTAATATTGTAAAGATGCTGATGTACAATTGTCGTGTTTGTGTAAACACATTACGTTCCTAGTTCCTGCCATAAATGATGCTGTAAAAGCAAAAGACTGAGGCTCCGTCCTGTGCAGAAGAGCAGTGGGTTCCCGCACCGGGGGTTGTGCAGGGGGGTGGGGGTGGGATTCCTCCCTCCGTGTCTTCAGATCAAGGAAGAACCAGCAGCGCCCGAGGGGGAGGGGCAAGGTCCCTAGGTGGCCGTTATTTATGATCGCGTTGGGGTGTTTCCTCACTTGTGCTTGTCTGCTGTGGGCGCAGAGTCTGAATCCTCATTCATAGCCCCTAACCAGATGCAAATGGGGAGGCAGGCGGAAGGTGTCCGGGGACTTCTGAACCCAGTCTTAAGTGTTTGAGATTTTCCCTTTTCTCTGGCTTTTTGTTTAGGTTGACGTCCTCTTTAGAGCCCCACAGAATAGTAGGAGAAGGTGACCGCCCGCCGCTCAGGCGGCCAGGGGGCATGCACCCCCTGCGTGAGAAGGGTAGATTGCCCACGCGCGGCACAGACCGTAAAGCATCTCTCACCAAGAGAAGGAGTGTTCAGGTCTTCACGGAGGCCTCCGATTTAAATGAGCCTTTTTGTATTTTTCCTCAACGCTCTTATGTTCTAACCCATGAGGCCCCTCTCACATGCTGGGGAAAGGCCACCAGCTTCAACCTGTCTGGAGGACGAGAGCACAGCCACTTCCCGTCTGGGGTTGCGGAGCAGACGCCTCCCGCCGCACAATCTAATTTGCTGGACAGACCTGCTAGCCTTCTCCTTTGCTTAGCAACGCGCCTCCAGTTGGCACATCTGCATTTTGGCATCGGAGGTTCCCATCTGAGAGGAGGAGAAAGTGTGGTTATTAGGAAGGAAGTCTTGCAGAAACAGCTCATTGCGACATGTGTTCGTGGATTTTTCTGGTCTGGTAGCCGGCATGGTTACTGGTGGGTGGAGATGCCCTAATATTTTTAAGCAAACCAGATTTTTGAGTAAACCATAGTGCTTAAAAATAAAAAATAAAAAAGAGTACCTTACAAAATGTTACTCTTATATTCCGTCTTTACTAAGTAAAATCGGGAAGTACAATTTTACAAAAACGGGGAAATTTCTGAATTTGTATAGAATTACGATGCTTCCACGGTAATGCTCAAATTCGAATATGCAAAGTCACCTGAACAGTTAAGTACCAGTTTCGAATTTCCACACAACATTTATATACTTCCTAGAATGAATATATTGTAAGTAATCTTCTGATCAGGTGCCAGCAATACAAATGTTAACTTCTGCTCTTCATCAATCTCAAAAGTAATTATTTTTATTATAAGCAACTGGACAGAGTGCTGTTCCTATGCCTCCCCGTTTCCCACAGAACCTCCGCCAGTGCAGAAGGGGCCTTGGCACGACCGTCGCGGGGACTTCTGCCACTGCCTGGCTCACACGGGGCTCAAAGCCAGGGCACGGCACGAATAATATATTTTAAAAAGTTGTTTTTTTAAAAAAAAAGCCCTGGCCAGTAGCTCAGTGGTTAGAGCAGCCGCCCTCAAGGCCTATGCTCCAAAGGGTCATGGGTTTGATTTCCAGTCAAGGGCACATAATCTGGGTTTCAGGTCCCATCCCCCTGCCCAGCCTGGTCATTGTTTCCCTCTCTCGCTCTCCCTCCTTCCACTCTCTCTAAAAATCAATGGAAAAATATCCTCGGGTGAGGATTAACCAAAAAAAAAAAAAAAAAAAAAGGTGTTTGTTTTTTTAAAGCTACCACTTGACTGTGTTCCTTAGAATAAATAAAGGATATTTTATAAATTACATGCAGATCTAGCGCTTTGTTTCTGACCCACCGAGGCAGCCACCAGAAGATGCTCTGGTTTGGATAATTTGGGAGCCACCACTCACCCGTGGGGCTTGGCTGGGCCACTGAACAAGCCTTTGAGTAGCTCAGGTCCCCAATGCTGAACCTTCCCTGCCTGAGGAGCTGCTGTGAAGGGCGGGACCCTAAGCAGGTGCATGGTCCCCGGGGTCCTAGCATGCACCCTGCTGGGGCAGTGCAGACACCCAGCTGCAGACTACCTCACCTCTCCTGAACCCCAACCTGGATTCCTGGGTTCAGCGTGCGTTGGGCCTTTTGCACTATATTGATTGTGTGTGTGTGTGTGTGTGAACCAAACCACTAGTATATTTGAAAAGGGGGTGTTGAAGCATGAATGTGAGACATAGGGATGTGATTTCCATTGAGTCCCTGACCGCAGGGAGACTCATTTGGCCAAGCCCAGCAGAACCAAGGAGCACAGGACTGGGGGACTACCCGCCTCCCCATCCAGGAGGATGACCTGGCGAGATGGCCCCACCCCGTTGGGCCCTGTTCTCTCTCCTGATCCGGAGACAGGAAAACAGCTGCGGTGGCCCTGGAGGACACTCGAGGACACACAAGATTGGAGTTTCTCTGAAGTCGATGACAAGGCAAAACATACAAAAATGGGGGTCGCCAGAGGACTTTCAGTTCGAGGCGGACGCTTGGTTCAACTCAGTGGGGACCTCTAGAGAGCTGGGGGGATAAGAGCTGGCCAGAGGGTCCAGCTGCTGGCCTTGAGCCTGACACTGAGGCTGACGTGGGTTGTTGTAGAAATTGTGATGTCACAGGTAAATGGAGATGGGGACCCATAAGGCAGTGGTCTGTGGACCAAGAGAAAGAAAAAGTATTGATGGCAGCTAAGGGCAGCAAGACTAGCAGGGATAGAACCATCAGGGTTTTGTGAAGTGACCTAAACGGAACACAACCCCAGTGAGGGTTGAGGGTCAGAAAGGAGGGCTGACCGGCCACTCTCCCTGGACCTACAGCCCCTGCTTCAGTCCCTGCCCTCGCGGATGAGAATCGGGGCCATTGCTCCGTGAGTTTCCAGTGGCAAGGAGAGCCCGGCCTGTCGCAGCCCCTCCCCCTCGCCCCCGGCTGATCTTGTTTGGGACACTAGATGGCAGCTCTCTTCCCCCGAGCCCCAGAGCTGGACAAACAAGGGACCTGCTGACCCATGGTGTGTTCTCCAGACCCGAGAGACACAGGCAGAGCAGGTGTGCCCAAGCCTCGCTGCCCGCGGGTTGCTGTTGATCTGCAGGGAAAGTCTGTGTCCGGCCTCACCCTCCTCCTCACCTTCAGTGGAAGGACGTCTTGTACAGCTTGTGTGTGACCTTAGGGTTGTACGACTTTGACCTGATGTGGCCATGGAGGCTTTGGGCATCATTATCCAAAGGGTCCCTGCTTGCTGCAAAGATCCTTGTCTCCCAAACCACCCAGTGAGTGTCATGGATGGATGGCAGCAGGTGCCCACCTCTGCAAGTGAGAGGGTGACAAGACAGCCATGAGACTAAGAGAAGACATTTGTTTATCAGCAGGAACTGTTTACTTGAGGGACTATAAAGTCACCTGGAAGAGGACTTCCATGTCCCACTTTTCAAGATTGTCATCACATCAAACATGGATCACCCCCAAATGTCTTGACATGTGCACGGGGCTGAGGACCTCTAAGCCCTCAGCGTCGGTATCTCCACAGTGCACCAGGCTTCTCCCTCTGAGGCTCTAGCGAGAGACCCAGGGGAGGAGGCCGGGGAGACATCGTGAGGGCCGGAGGGCAGCTGCGTTGGAATGTTTGCCTATTTCCATCACACAGAGCAGGTGTGACGGCCATCTCAGCCTGTCACCCGTGCCGGACGGTGCTCCTCCCCGAACCAGCACCGAGGCTGGGGAATGATAACAGGTGGAGGTCCTCCTCACACAGTCATCGCAAAGCAGGACAAAGTGGCAAAGAGCAGGGACCAATGCCAGCCCTACCCCCAGGAGCACGCAGACCCGCACATCCCTAGCGGGATGAGCCGGAGGCGCCGCCTGCCACCCGCTCGAACCGTTCCTGGCCAAGCCTGCCCCTCGAAGCCCGTGTCTAGCATGTCACCGGAGCTTCCTCCTCTGTGTCCTGGCCCTGGCCCTGGCCCAGGACTCCCGAGGAAGCTGTGGTTTGGGGCGCACAGTCTGTACCAGCAGGGTGGGGCGACAGCTGCCACCCCGGACGCGGGCCACGCCCTCTTTCTTGGACGCGAACACACCCCCATTTCCCGGGGCCCACAGGAGACACACCTTGCCCTGCAGCCAAACTGCAGAAAGGCGGATTCCTACGAGTATGTACAAGGTCCTGGAATTTTCGCCCGGTTGCCACACAGCCTTCGGAGCATAATTGGGGGAGGTTGTGCAACGGCCCTGCCGAGAAGCTGGGCGTGCTGCGAGAGCGCTCCGAGTTATCGGCACAGGTGTCCGGGAGCCCCGGGACAGAGCCAGGCGCCAGCGTTGCCACCTTGGGGCAGCACGGACGGGCGACCCGCGGCAGAGGCAGTGTGGCTCTGCTGAGAGCTGGGGAGCCCAGGTCCCCGTTGGGCCAATGGGAGTGAGCGTGAGGCAGAGAGGACCTGCCTCAGGGTGGCAGCAGTGGCAACAGCCTCACCTGGCAGTGCCCTGAGCGCATGGCTACCCCGGGGCCCCAGCGCACCAGCTCCTGAGGGGAGGAGTGGGGGGCAGCACTGGGGGAAGCCCCACCCAACAAAGACAGGAAAGGGACACCCCTGCCGTGGGGCCATGCTTGGGCAGCTGGCTGCATTCTCGGTCCCCCTGAGCCCCATGGGTGGGTCCATCCCAGGGGCCCAGTGAGTCACTTCCCCGGCCCGAGGCCTTCGTGGAAGGTGCCTCCCTCTCCAGCAAAGCCTCCTTTGTTCTGCTGGCTTCACTTCACAACCCTTCCCCTCGGTGTTGCAAACTCAGGTCTTGAGGGTTTTCGGGGCATCAGCTGGGAGGAGCACAGAGGTGGGCAAATGGGTGCCGCCTGGGAGTGTCTGGCACAGCAGAGGCTGGAGCTTGCTCTCCTGCTTCCCGTGTCCTCTGCCCTCTCAGGGCCCAGGACCCCCCCTGCTCCCCCCCACACCTTTCCGGAAACCCCCACCTCCTTGCACAGGTAGTGGGTGTGCAGCCTCGGGAGCGCTGATCCTGGACGTGCCCCAGGAGGGTGGGTGGTTTGGATGTGCTCACCCTGGCAAGCACCTCCC